GAATTAAGGACTATTAGTGTTTAGATATTGTTTAGCATGGAAAGATCAGAGCAGCCCTTCTGATATGATAGTTGTTTTAGGTGGTTGACGAACTCTCTAGTATTCCGATTTCTTCGAAAAATACTCTAACACTCAAATTAGAAGTTATTCTAGGTAGTAATATAAATTAGGTTAACAAAGATACTAATGATTTTACTACGTAAAGTTTCCTTTATTTTGACTCTAATATGGAAAGAGTGACTCAGGTGGTTGTAATCCAAGATTGTGATAATATCCATAGCAAATTGTGGTTCATCATAGAAGATAGAGAATAGTTTATCCTAGTTTTCAAATAAGAGATATTAAAATAAGTTGTCTCATAATCATTTTTTTCTAGGAGTGGATCGTGATCTGTAAAGAACATACCCAGAGTGATCTCACCACCATTCCTTATTGTTTTAGGTCAACCACCACCATGCTTAAAATAGCACGGATAATGCAACCTCCTGTGTGATACCTGAGCTGGAGATCCACCAATTATTCTGGACATAATAGATAGTGATCTTGCTAAGTAGGCCCACAAGACTCAACGGATTCACCATTGGAAGTGATTCTGCTCAGTTGGGCCGGTTGAACATTGTGCATCTGGGCTCAGGCCTAGCTAGTCCAAATGAGACATTTGTATATAAAATTATAATTTGTTATTTTGCTCTGATTTTTTTTCTGGTTTTATAAGTTTTATTTTCGTGATTAAATGTGTTTTAAGAGAGTCTTCTGTGGGTTGGAAATTTCCAGGGGGTGAGATTTTCCTGAAGCAGTTGTGAATTTTTGTTTTGGGGCATGTCATCTTAGACGTTGTCAAAACCACGAGTGGCACTAAGATTGATTTAAAAAACTCTTGTCTTGTTAATCATTTTTACTAGTTAGAATAATCATGCATTTTATTTGGATAAACTTCATCGCACGATTGACTTTTATAACTACCGTTAATTCCTGGCCACATTCTCATCGTTATCACACATATTAGCACTTATAATTGTTTTTAACCATGAATTCATTATCACGAAAAGCAATCCATTGTAAATGTGCGTAAGTGTGATTGTATTGAAATGGCAGATCTTCCTTTGAGTCTTAAATTTCTTGCCCCATTTAAACTATTTACATTCAGTACACTGTACGAGGACCCTATAAACCGATGCAAATTAAATGGTAAGAAACCAAAAATCTTTTGGCAAGAAACGGCTGTCGTGTGATGATTACGAATCCTATATGAGGGAAAAACTTTGGATTTTAGTAATGTCTTTATGATTGAAGCCAAATAATAGTGGGAATCGTTTTGCTTTGTATAGGTTGTCCCTTTTCTGAAGTATACGTGATGAATTTAGTAGCATAGGTTTACTCATTTCATTTTAGCTTGCTCCATCAGTATTAAAAGTTTGTGTCTCCTAAATAACCCATGCCCCTTATCACATGCTGACAGAGTAAAGAGGTACACCTCAGTTTCCACTAGAACCATTTTATATATCAATCAAAGATACTCGAAGACAACTGCTCGTGTCTTTTGTCTCAATAATTTGAACTTTCGAAACATGCGTTTATATTTGGCATACTAATTTTCCCTTTTGTCAATGTCACTTAATTATCATATCATTATCATACTAATTGGAAATCTTTTTCTTTTCCTTGTTCTTTCATTTAACTATTGATATGTGATTTTCAAGTAATACATCTCTGATCTTTTACGTATTCTCTACACGCATTAGCATTTTCCCATATCTTCTTATCATTCTTATCATTTATTTATTACCAAGTCCGGTGTATCTTTTGCTCAACCTCTCGCACATAATTCCACTGTATCCTCCTTGCCACTATGTACCAAACCATATATCTACTTTCCAGCGAGGAGGGGCTCAAAGTGGATGAAGCTTTCATTGCCATAGATATAGTTATAAAGGCTTCAATTTGTGAATTATGAACTATGATTGGAAGATAATTAGTGGTGACGGAAGAGACAAGTTAGATGTTTAGCTTTGGTAAGCTTTTGTTCTGCGTCTGGACCAACCCTTCACCCCACTAACCACTTTACAGAATCGTGAGTGTGGATCTTTAAATGGAAAAGGAACTTGGAAAAAACACTTAAAAAAAAGAAGCCTCAAGCGCTGAAGTATCTGGCTCCACCTTTCGGTTTTCTTTTTACCCTATGCTCGCGGGTTTATTACAATTTCTTAAATCTGATTAGACAATTATTTATTTTGATTATCTATCTGTTAAAGTCGCACTCCGTGGCTAAATTCCCTATATCCTATATCTTTCCAAGATTCCTTAGACTTAACCTTGCATTTATATCTTCCACTGGATATAGTATCTGTCATATATACTCCTGTACCTAATTACACTCCTGTTGTTAAATTAAATGTCAAGAAATGGTTTTTGTACCACCTAAAAGGGACGCCTTTAAGTAAGTTTTCTTTTTGTCTTGAGATATTATTTTTAAGATCTATATATATAGAGAAAGAGAGAGAGAGAGAGAACAATTGTATGCTAGTCTAGCCTTTAATTTATTCTCGTGCATGGTATGAAGTAGGAGCATATATATACACATCATTAAGTTGGCAAATGAATATTACTTTAGACCTAACTGGGTATCAACCGACGGAATTAATTTGGCCGAATCGATGTTACTGCCTTGAAACCGGTTTTGATTCTTTCATTCTTAATCGTTTCAAACATTGTATTCGCCAATGCACGGAATCAGGCTAAGATTTCACGTGTCATAAACTTCCATGCAGTTTTGAGAAATTAATGTTAACTGTAATGTCTATCTACTCAACTAATTTAAGATCAACTCATGAGAAATAACTTTTCTTCTTTTTTAGTAATGTTATCAACACAATCTATCATATTCTTTTTAATATATCTTTAGTTATTAATTAAAATTTATTAGAAATATAAAATGTTTACTTTTAAATTAATATTTTTTCTTTTCTACATTATAGCTTTTAATAAATTTTAGTCATGGTTAAAAGTATGTTCTTAGATTACTATTATTTTTTCCATGAAACACAAGCTGACAAATTCCGAAGTGCAAAATCGAAAATTCCTTCACCGTCTATGCCACTGGAATTTGAAGATAAGAGAACTTTCGTTGGATACTATAAACAACCACTCATCCTTCAACCAAATTGGTGATAATATTCCTACGATCACCTCCTGCTTCCCATGAGCCCATTAAAATAATTCCACAATTCAATGTTGTCCAAATTGAAATACTTTCACTGCTATTAGAAAAGGCTTCCACTTAAAAAGGAGTAAGAATTTCTTATATTGAAGTGACATTTTAGATTTAAATAAAATTTGAAAACATTAAAACTATAAGAACAATATACTTAATTAATGACTTATTAAATTAATAAAATAAATTATAAATAAACTAAATAACTTACTGAGCATGTTCTTAGTATTATGGTGTCAAAACCTCCAGCTTTTTACATAGCTAACAGTTTTTGGTTTATTTTCTTCTAAATATTGAATGATTTTTATATTTTAAGATAATAAGTTAAAAAAAAACAAAGAAAAAGTGAAAAATAATAAATTATATGTAATTTCGAAACCATCCCCCGGGCATAAAAGAAAAAAAATTAAAAACGATATTTTAAGTTTCAAAAGTTGAGTGTTTGTTGACCCAGAAAAAAGTTAAGTGTTTTGTACAAGAATTTTTATTTCATTTTAAAAAATAAATATGAAATTAGTTATTTCTTCTCAACTTTATCTTTTATTTCTTGGTATTTTCACTAAATGAATGATAAAAGCATTAATTAAATTGGATATGAATTTTGTTAAATATAATTATATTTATTTTAAATTAAATATATTTTCAAAAGACGCTCCCTCGTCAACTTTTATCAACGTATAAAAAGCTTTTTAATCAATTTTATCTGCATAGTTTTATTTTATTTTATTTTTATTAATTCCAATCTTTAACATTGAGTTTAAACATTTAAAAGTGTGGAAGTTATTTCTTATAAATAGAATTGTAGGCAGTATATTTTATACTCTTCACCAATATAAAAACAAACAACTATAAGAAGGTAATATATAAGTAGGTGAAGTGAAAATGCCCTTTCTTAGTAAGTATTTCTTCTAGGAGAAATTTTTAACTGATGAAAAGTTAACATTTGCACCGTTTAGTAACCTAGCAACATATACTACTTTTAACACACTTATAATTATTACTTAAAATTTATTAAAAATTATAAAAATAACATGAATCATATTTTTTCACTTTTAAATTAATTATTCTCTCTCATACTTTTATATTTTTGAATAATTTTTAGTTAACAATTAAAAATGTGTTAAAAATAATGGATTAAAAAGTAAGTCGATACCATTCCTTAAATAACTTTTTGGTTTTGTTTAGACTTTAGATTTGGTTCCATGACCAGGTTTTCTCTTTCTCATGCTTCATTCTTAGAAAGTCACTTTATCAGTGAATCCATAAAACCAATTTTAATATCTCCTCCGTACTTTTGTAAGAGATATTGGTTTTTCTCATTGAATATTTAAACTTAAAAAATTGTAACATAATTTTAAAAGAATTCCATGTTTAGCTTTTCTTAAAATACTACGTCAGTTTTAAAATTTTTCATTTTATAAAAACTGAAATATATATATATATATATATATATATATATATACACGGCACGTACAATTCACATTGATGACTGAAAGTCAAAGATAAAATCAATATTAAATGCTTTCGAACAAATAACAATTTAAATGCTTGAAATAAATATCTTTTGCAAATCAGTTCCAGAAAGAAAGTTAGAAAATGTTGTCTTAACCAAAGTGGTGGCATGGCTCATCACGCACTATAAATCTTTCTCCAACAACGTCTTCTTCCATTGGCAGCACAAAAGGCCAAGTACCAGCAATCTCTCCCGCCTTAAGAAACTAAAACTCCCTCGCGTGCACACATTCTTCTTAACCAATCCCAGACACAAGACAAGTGGAGCAAAGCAACAATGTCCGGAACATCAAAGTTAGGAGACAACCTAAGCTCAAACCATAAAACTAACGAATTCCCTTTGCCTCCTCCGTCATTAGAAACCCAAAATTGCATGATGAAGATGGTGCTCACAGAGCTAAGAGTTCAACGAGGAATAGCCCTTCCAATGGTGGCCATGAATTTGGCTTGGTTTGCCAAGACAGCCATCACAACAGCCTTTTTGGGGCGTCTAGGAGATCTCAGCTTAGCAGGTGGCGCTCTCGGGTTCACTTTTGCTAATGTCACTGGCTTCTCTGTCCTCAATGGTCTATGCGGTGCCATGGAACCTATCTGTGGACAGGCTCATGGTGCTAAAAACTTCAGACTCCTTCACAAGACCCTTCTCATGACAGTCTTGTTGTTGCTGTTGGTATCACTTCCCATTACTTTCTTGTGGCTTAATGTTGACAAAATTTTGATTCATTTTGGTCAACAAGAAGACATCTCTGTTGAGGCCAGGACCTATATTTCCTATCTCATACCCGACTTGTTTGTCATCTCACTCTTCTGTCCATTAAAAGCCTACTTGAGCTCTCAAAGCATAACCCTTCCTACCATGTTCAGTTCTGCTGCAGCACTAGCTTTCCACATACCCGTTAACATTGTACTCTCAAAGACCATGGGGATCAGAGGAGTTTCCATGGCGGTTTGGATAACTGATTTTATTGTTGTTGTTCTGCTGGCCATTTATGTTATAATTCTTGAAAACAGAAAGGTAAGCATGTGGAAGGAAGGAGGATGGTGGGATCAGAGGATTGTAGATTGGATTAGGTTGCTCAAGCTGTGTGGATCATGCTGCCTCAATACATGCCTTGAGTGGTGGTGCTATGAGATTCTTGTCTTGCTAACTGGCCACTTGACAAATGCAAAGCAAGCAGTGGGAGTTTTGGCTATTGTGCTAAACTTCGACTATTTGCTCTTCTCAGTGATGCTATCGCTAGCCACTTGTGTTTCCACCCGTGTCTCAAATGAACTTGGTGCCAACCAAGCTGGCCTTGCTTATCGATCAGCGTGTGTGTCTCTAGCATTGGGCTTTGTCTCAGGTTGCATAGGTAGCTTGGTGATGGTGGCTGCCAGGGGAGTTTGGGGCCCCCTCTTTAGCCATGATGGGGGAATCATAAAGGGAGTAAAGAAGACAATGTTGTTGATGGCTCTGGTGGAAGTGTTCAATTTTCCATTGGCAGTTTGTGGGGGCATAGTTCGAGGGACAGCTCGACCCTGGTTAGGTATGTATGCTAATATGGGTGGATTTTATTTTCTGGCCCTGCCACTGGGTGTTGTTCTTGCATTCAAGCTACGACTTGGGCTAGTTGGACTCTTCATTGGACTTCTTACTGGTATCGTTACCTGCTTGACGCTCCTATTGGTATTTATTGCGCGGATAAACTGGGTTAACGAAGCTGCCAAGGCCCAAGCACTAGCCAGCAACGAGCAGGTTAAGGAAATTCCCAAATTTGACGCAGAAAGAACCAATTGAGGCGCATGGAAATCTTGACGTACTATAGTTATAGAAAAAAATCTCCATCTAACCAAATCCATACGTGTCTCCAAACATCAGGCCAGAACGAATAAGACACGGCTCAATCATGTACATAAATTGAAGACGGGACGTCACACTTACGATTGCTCAATGGTTTGTCACCCCCATTTTTAGTGTTTCATTGCTCAAAGATTTTTCCTGAAAATCACTAAAAAACAATCCACATGTCATTTTCGATCACTACATATTGCCTATTGCTTTTGCCTGGTTATTTCTTCTCTTTCTTTCTTCTTTCTTTATTGTGGTTAGAGGGAGGGGGAAGGGCACTTCACATTTGATAATAAGATTTCTGCATTCCAAATCAATAAGCAGAACATAACCGCCTGTTGATCTATCTATTGTACAAACAATTGCATCAAATAATCAATATGCACTCAAAGCAAAACTCTTGCTCATACATCTTATAGAAAAAATCATTCATCCGTACAACCAGGTTTAGAAATTGTGGACTCTAGCTCTTTAGCCTTTTCATCATTAAAGCCAAGGGAGGACAGAATCTTGTGACCAGGAGAATCCACTTCAGACCAAATGCCAAGAAGCAGGTGTCCTGTAGTAATTTCCCCGCCATCACCTGCAAGTCACGTGGATTTATAAAACAGGATTAATTTCTTTAACTTGTGCATAGAACATCTGATAAGAATCATCATTTACAAAACAAAAAGAATAACGAGGCACGAACTGCAAGGAACATGCTGGAAAAAGTACAAATTAGTTGTGGACATCCATAACTGGCATTTTTAATTATACGGTTTTTCTAACCTATGCAATTGCAGGGCATAAGATATATATAACAAATTTTTATTTAAAACTGTAACATTTAGTAGTATCAATGCATTTAATTACATAGAATTTTTTAATTTTTATTAAAAAAATGCTATATATAACTTTTTATCATATACAACATTGCACTAGTTAGAAAAACTGCTAATTGTATTAGGAACAACTTTGTCCCACAAAACGAAATCAATCATCACATGCCTACCAATAACTCTTCTTTAAATAATATTTTTTAAAATAAATAAATATTACAGATCGCTCTAACAAAACAAAAAACCATCTAATCAGTAGCAGGAAACATAATGCTGAAAAACGTCTTGGAAAATGACAAATGGTTCTTTCTTTGGCTAGAAAACCTACATGCATTCATCTCAACATTAAAAGCCAATAAAAGCATTCCAAACTCTATCAGACAACTAAATAAATCTTTCAATTTATTTAAAATACCTGTTTTCTTAATGGCTTCAAGGCTTTATCTTGGAATTCATGATTTAAGTTTAATCATATATCATGATTTCCAAAAGCAGAATTGAATCTTTTTTATTGTTAAAATTTGAATGAAAATCATGATCTAACTGAACCATTGTCAACCTGAATGTAGGTTTGACAATTATTTTTGATAGAAGAAAGTCTTCAGGACCAAAAGACAATTGCACATCCAAACAACGCAAACACTTGCTTATCAGGTCATGTAATCAGAAATAAATGACTAGAAGCATGGGCAATAAAAAGCTGATGATGATCCAGGATTTTTAGATTAAATACTACCTTCCACATGTATTTTATTATGCAGGATTAAATACATACAATTGATACTATTCTCATCTAATCATGTAAATTTTCATCTACAAGGGATCCTTAAAGTCATATAGGTTTTCCAATCAGCTCTCCAGTATTTGCAGATGGTGATAAACAATAATAAATTAGAAAAAGGAGAATAACAAACCAGATTTTAATTTTTGATCAACAGCCCAATCAAGGGCCCTCTGAGCTTCATCGGTCAGTGGAGGATGCTCTGGGCTGAAGAAAAACAAATCACCTTTTCCAAGTAACTTAACAGCTTCATCTCGCACCTTGAAAAGTGTAATTCCATTGGCTCGCAAAAACATAGCAGCTAGATTAGTACCTACGGACCAGAGATAGATTAGGCACAATACTTAAACTTGTATATTCAGAACTTTCATTAGAAGAAATGCAGGTACAACACAAGGGAAGTGTATAAGGCATAAATTTGCAACTTCAAATAATTAAAAAATGCATTTTTTAAGTTGCATGACAAAATCCATTTTTTCCGAGTGAAAAAAATGAGGCTTTCTTGCCTTGAATTATTTATTTGTAAGGAGGGGGTATAAACTCCATACGTGTGTTCTAGTCAAATTTAAGAAGTGGGTTGACGAAATGAGGAGCCAAGTGGATTCTAGTTGTTTTCTAAGACACTATCAGAAAACGAAATGGAATGAGAAAATGAGGACTGCTGAGAATATAACTGCATGAGATTAAATGACTGAATTTAAGAATCAACAGAAAGTAAATGATTAAATAGAAGTAGCATTTTATGGCTATTAGCTAATTATATCTAGTTTCTTAAACAGGGAACCAAGAAAAATTAGCCCATGTAACCAGTTTTTCATAAAAACTTAATGGGGAACTAAGATCTAATATATCAAGAACCATCCTCAATAAGCGTTGTATTGAGCTAAGTTCCCTACATATATAACCATAGATGTTTCTCCATTTATGTCGTACATACAAACTAATTCACATTAACACCATGTTAGCCCTGGCAACCACATTTTGGGCAGAAACTACTTTGAACAGTAAATAAAGCGTTTGGCAAGTTTGGTTGCTTTTGAATGAAGCAAAAACTTTTTTTGCTTTTACATTGAAAAGAATGAACTCACGTAACCCACAATTTATATCTTACTTCGAGTTCAAAAGTAATTTTACCCCACCAACCAAACAAAATCAACTTTACTGGATTCACTTTTAAAATATCATTCACAAACCCGAATAAAATTATTTTACCTCAATTCTTCCAAAAGAAAGTATATAAAAATCTAAAATAAACATAAAAGCTTGAAGAAACTGCAATGTAACAGAGGAATTAGTTACCCTCTATAAGAATCCCCATGAGAAGGGCTTCAGTGCCAGTAGTGGGATACTTGAGTTTTCTTGCCTCCAATTCAGACATAGCAAACGATTTTATAGCCTTGGAAGACCATCTTGCTTTCATCAAACACAATTAGAAAGGAACGAATGAGAACGGAAGAGAGCAAAGAACACAATTGGGCGATACTCACTTGGGAATTTCCTGGACAGGAGAAGCACGCTCCGGCTTTCTGCAAACAGGAAATGACAATAAAACCTAAATCCGAAAATGGGAGAAATCAAATTCAAATTGGGAGGTGAAAAAAGCTTACGCAGTAGGAAGGCTGAAGGAAACAGTAGCAGAGAGGGGACGGCGCTTCCAAACAGACACGTGTGATCTCAGACTGAGACTACACGACCCAACTCTAACTTTGATTCCGAGCCATGAACTTTCAGGGTTCTTCAGCGTCAAAGTCTGACCCAAACGAACGCTAGTGTCGGACCGCAGTATCAGACTCGCGGGGCAACGGTATTGCGTGGCAGCCATTTCCCAACGAAATGCGAGACTCTGGAATTGGATAGAGCTGTTTTAAGCAGAAGAAACATACGGTGTCGTATTGTTGCCAATTGGGCTTTGGGCCTATAAAACTTCCAGGTCCGGTTGGGCTGGAAACACTAGAGCCCAAAGCAATGCTTCACTTCGGGGCTTCAAAGCATCGCAGGCTTTGCATTACTCCAATGTTTTATGGGTAGGCCACACTGGAAGTGCAAGAAGGGCTTCCCAACCTCTCTGATACTCTTTGGTACAATCTCTTCTTACCTTATGGTTTGTGTTACCTTGCCACATTTAAAACTAACTATTGCATAATCCACTTGGGTTATGAATAATTTGTCAGATCCAACTTTGCTCACAACATGTGCCAACTAGTCAAGTGTAAATTTGCTACTTATAATTATAATTAATATAGTGTATTTCTATACACTATATTCAACATTTACTTATCCATACTCATATCCAAAACGAAAAATAAAATAAACAAAGAAAAACAATTAGACTTGTGGCATTAAAAAAACACAGACCCAAGAAATAAAAAGAAAAGAAAGATCCGAAGTAAAAGGCAACGGAAAAAACTAGAAATTACTAAATTTAGGCTAACAATTTAAAAATATATATACAAGTCTTAACTAGTCTAAAGTTAATGAACTTGAAGGGAAATGTTGAGATATTGAATTTCACATTTGTGGACTATGAACAAATAAAAGACTAGTTTATCTTCACCGCCTTGAGACATGTAAAGTTGGTCTGCTTCTAAACCAAGTCAAATCCTTTTCATCAATTGTCCCTATTCCTTGGAGTGATTTTGGAATGCTAATTTAGGAATACATTATTATAAGAAATAACTATTTAACTTCTTTTTGACCGGCGAAAGTATAAATATTTTTCTAGAACGAATTAAAGAAAATTACTACTTATTTATCCCTTTATTTCTACATTACCTGTTTAAATTTTGTAATTTTTCTAAAATACTCCTATTTGATCCCTTGTTTGCTAAAGGTATTTTTATCATCACTGTTGCTAATAAGTGTTTTTAAATCAAATGAAAATACAAAATAAACTATTTAATTCGAGACATACTTTTTTTATTGAGAAAGTGGGAAATTGAGAAAGGTAAGGAAGGATTTGCAGTTATGGCGATTATTTATTGAAACATGTTAATGCAGGTTAGAGCAAAACAAGGGTAGAGTGTCCCACGGAAAGACATGCGGCGCCGTTGTATCGAAGCTCTCTCCACTTGACCGAGAATTTCGAATCGTAACGGTCAAAAAGTGGCCAAGGTAGCGGGATTTACGATAAATCGAAGGACAACTGGACCCAATCAACAATAGCTGAGTTGTCATCCACGTGGCACTACTCAAAGCCCCTCCTCGTATGTTACCCCTTCGTCTGTGTAAAAAGACACACTGCCAAAGCTATGCTGAGGTGTGCCCCAATGCACCTTTTTAGGATCCACAAATCGATGTCAATGCTCCAACCACCCTTCCCTTTGGCCGGTGGCGGGAACCCCCTTCTTCCCGCCACATCTTCACCCACTCTTCTTTGTGAACTACTCACCCCTTAATCCTTATTGTGCTAAGTTGTGAGTAACAGGCAAAGACACTAGCTAACCTGGAACGTGTTTTCTGACGCACATGACAGAAGACAACGAGCCTCTCTTTCAGTAGGTCCCACTTTATACTTTTAGAATTTTTAGTATATATATATATATATATATATATATATATATATATATATATATATATATATCTTTATCTTTATTTTAATATTAAGCTGTAGTATGTATGTATTTTTGTCTTAAAATTTAAAATAAATATTAAAATTGAAAATATTTTTTTAATAATTTTTGTCTTAAAAAATTTTAAATATATTAAAATTTATTTTTTTACTATAAATCTTTATATTATGATGTGTATGTATATATATTAAATTATTATAAATTAATTATAAAAATATTTTTAAATTTTATAAATTTAAATTTATAATCTTGTAAATTAAAATAATATTTGAGTTTAATTCTTTTACTTTTAAAGTTAATTTATAAATATTTAAAAGTATATTATATAAATCTTAATATAGTATATAAAATGATTTTATTAATATTAATTATTTTTAAAATTTAAAACAGTTTAAATATTATTATATATATTTTATATAATTATTTTTTATTTTATAATTATTATTTATTATATCATACTATGACATAATAATTTATCTGTGCATCGCACGTGTTATCTTTTTAGTGTATATATATATATTTATTAAAATTCTTCCATCATTGAATTAATAATATTAATAGAAAAAATGAGATATCTTTATTTTAAATTTAAGAAAAAATATTTACGTTTTCAAAAAATTAAAAACTCAGTACTAAATTATTAGTTCATCGTTACAATTATTAGAAAAGACTTTTACAGTTTTATATATATATATATATATATATATATATATATTATTCCATTTAACTTCAATTTTTTTAAATGATATAAATTTTTAATTATAAAAAATTATGATAAAATAAATAAATTCTACTAATAAAAATAAATTCAAGAAAAAAACCTAATACAGCGTAAAATTCATTATAATATAATAACAAAATTATATTTTAATAAAATAATTAAATCATAATAACGATTGCAAATAAAGTATACTTTATATATTTTAACATTTACTTTTGTAAATAGTTAATTTTTATAACTTGAAATACATTTATTATAAAAATTCAAATTGTACTCTCAACTAAGCTTGTATACGACTGAGTTTTTTCAAATTTCGAAATGGGTTATAGCCATCCTAACTCATGTCACAAACATTCTTAGAGTCAACTTCTTAAAAACATTTTTGGAAATAGTAATTGTTTACACCCTTTAGGAATATATGTCTAGCTTTTCTAAAATTAACTCTTCTTTGTTTGAAAGGAAGATATCATTCATGGCAAATATGAAAAGGACAACAACTAATCTCGATCATTCGCAAGGCATTAAAAATGAAACTGCTAATCAGATATATCCAAAGTGTGGTTTTCTTTTCCTCTTTACTAATCAGATATGTATCCAAATTGTACACGGTAAAAATTATATCTGAATTGTTTTATAAAAAGAAATTAAATATTGATTAAAAATAAGGAAGGACTAGAGTATTTAAAAATGAATAATAATAAACTTTATAAGTTTTTATTCCAATTTCAATTTTTATGTTTAAATTCAAATCAAATCATTTTGAATTATAAATTTATTATTATTTTTATTATACATGTATATAGATATGTTTTTAAAAAATATATTTATTTTTGTAGAAAATCTTAACATTATTTTAACTGTAATTTGTAGTCTAGATAAAACTATAATTTATAATAAGATTATATATTTTTATTATGTATTCGATATTCTATTTAACGAGTGTTTCAAATTAAGAACTAGTCACTGAAATTTTATACAGTGATTTTGAGATTCTTTATATTTTATTTAATAAAATATTTTTTTAACTAAAAAATTGATATAATTTTGATATTGTTTTAAACTGATCCAAATAAAATTACAAATTTTTATGACTGAATATTGGGTTTTCAAAAACCATCTAAACGAAATCGTGTTTAATGAATGAAAATAGAAAGGGCTTCAGAGTTATAAGCAAAATTGAATATCAAAAGATACAGAAATAAGTACAAGAAAAGTGGCCGAAATGAGTGACAGAGGAAAAGCCGATCCGAGCGGTGTTATCACGTGCGGACGTCATAATTCGGGTCGGCAAATCCCACCTCAGTATCAAGTTTACTCCGCTGAAGGGTACTATTTTTTTCACAATAACTTTTTGCAATAACTTTTTTAAATATTTAAATTCAATCTTAAGAAATCAAATATATTAAAGAAAAGAAAAGTGAGGAGGCCATCCAAGGAGGTGTCTGAACGCCTCTTGGCTTTCATTTCACATGTTCCGAGCTGTTGAGTACAGAGCAAGCAAAGCAACATCTGGAGATCCTACGTGTCGTCCTTATTTGATGGAAGATTAAAGTGCTAAAAAGAGATTTTATTTTGAATTAGAATCATTCGGTGTGGGATGGAACAGGAAAGATTGGAAGCTGGGTCAGCGCGGCAGGCGTTAGTCACGCCATGTGACAGTGCTCCATTAACCAAAACCCTCTTTCTCTTTTGGTCTTTGCGTACATCCGTGGTATCTATTAAATAATAAACTAAATTGTTATATTATTTCCCAAATAAATTAAATATTTCTCAAATATATATAGCGGTGTAACTTTGTAAACACGGAGCCAAAGTCAAGAACAAGACGTGCTTTGCGCTCGAGCTTTGGGAGAAGGGAAACAGCAGAGAGACAGAGAGAGTCACTGTTCCACACTCACAGCGAAGACGACGTAATTTGAGTCTGGCATAGCGATTTGGTCGAAGGGGTGGGGCAAATAAAAAGCCACGCTTTCGGATCACATCTCATTCGGTGTTTCTTTTGTGATATAGCAATTCACAAGGACGTAGCGGTGCTTCTTTTTGGGGCTGCGGCGCTGTTTTTTCTTCCTAAGAGGCGATGGAGTGGCCTGCTTGTACGGATGAATACGAAAAACTCATAATACGCATGGGCACTCCCAGGTTCTTAAACTATGCCTCCTCTTTTCTTAGTGTTTCAGTGTTCCCATGATTTCTGTTTTTTCTCCCTCCCCTTTAGCATATCGTTTTTAACTCTCAATGTTTCGGATGGATCTAGAATTTTCGCAGCAGGAGTGTGGTCGATTTTATGCAAGTCGAATCCAAATTAGTTTCTTTATTTTTATTTCTGCCAATTTTTTTTACAATCGAATCGAATTATTTTGGAATGGTGTTAAACACCTAACCTGATAAGTCGAAAACAGAGGCTATTTTTGGGTGTTGGTTTCATTTGTTGGACTGGAAGTTGTTTTTGGCAGACAGGAATGTTTCTTGTCTCTGACCACCGACTCCAACCCGTTCCCTCAGACCTGCTTCCAATAATTCAGTTTTCTAATATTTCAAATTACAATCACGACACAAAAATATTTCGATGGATAATTTGTTCAAAGCCACACCTGACTTTTAAATCTTATTGGCCCACTTTCAATATTTTAACAATTTTTTGACTTTTCTTTTCTTATCGTGTCTAACCCCTCATTCTTCCAGAACCTCCCCGTTCCCACGCGTTTTGGTTTTGGGGGTCTTGAATCCCACATTATCAAACAGAATTCCCGGGACAAAGTAACTTCGCTGACTTACTTCCTGACTTTGACCTTTCTGTATATAACAGGGTTGCCATTGACAATGCGGTTTGCTCCACAGCGACTTTAGTCAAGGTTGATAGCGCCAGAAGGCATGGTATTCTATTGGATGCCGTACAGGTGCTTACTGATCTCAACCTTTCAATTAAGAAGGCCTATATTTCCTCCGATGGCAAGTGGTTCATGGATGGTGAGTTCATATCTTTATTTCCCTTTTCATATGCTAAAATGGGTGATGTCTCAAGCACTGCTTAACTTTGGCTATTCAATCGACAGTTTTCCATGTCACTGATCAAAACGGAAACAAGCTAACAGATGAGAGCGTTTTGAAATACATTGAACAGGTATTTAATTCTGGCTTTACAAGTTCTAAATTGATATTACCAAATACCCGTTGTAATTTATTGTTAATCCGACTATGAATTTGCTTATGACAGTCACTTGGGAGCGTTCAAAATGTAAGAACGAACATTTCAAATGGTGTCACTGTGCTGGAATTAACTGGAACTGACCGGGTTGGCCTTCTATCGGAAGTTTTTGCTGTTCTGGCTGATCTTCAATGCGATGTGGTTGAGGCTAAGGTTTGGACTCACAATGGCCGCATTGCCTCGTTAATCTATGTAAAAGATTGCAATTCTGGGTCCAGTATTGAGGACTCTCAGAAGATTAATAAGATTGAAGTGCGCTTAAGAAATGTTTTGAAGGGAGACAATGACATTAGGAGTGCTAAAACTTCTGTCTCCATGGCTGTGATGCACACTGAAAGAAGGCTGCATCAAATGATGTTTGCCGACCGCGATTATGAGAGGACTCCCATTCTCAAGTTTACTTCTGATAACCCATCAGTTACCGTTCAGAATTGGGCTGAAAGGAGTTATTCAGTTGTGAATGTTCAGTGCAAGGACCGAATGAAGCTATTGTTTGATGTTGTATGTAATTTGACAGATATGGAATATGTTGTGTTTCATGCAACTATTAACACTAATGGCGACCGAGCGTACTTGGTAATTATTCAACTATCTTCCATCAAATTTAGCTTCTTTTTTTTTTTTTCCTCTCATTTCATTTGCCCAGTTGCTTGGTTTTTTATCTTAATTAACGCTGTTGTTCTAATTTTCATCTCAGGAGTTTTATATAAGACACAAGGATGGCACACCAATTAGTTCAGAACCAGAGCGTCAGCGGGTAATTCAGTGCCTAAAAGCTGCTGTGGAGAGAAGGGCATCTGAGGTATAGGCTTCCCTCTTCTCATTTGTATACATGTTAAATCGTTAGGACCTTTTGATGTAAAGTGGTCACGACTAAAATAATTATTAATTGGTTGATTACAGGGGGTTCGATTAGAGTTATGCACGGAAGACAGGCAAGGGCTTCTTGCAGAAGTGATGAGAACTTTCCGAGAAAATGGACTGAATGTGACAAGGGCTGAGATATCCACCGTAGGCAACACGGCTACAAATGTGTTCTATGTGACGGATGCTATTGGAAACCCAGCTGATCCAAGAATCATCGAATCTGTAAGGCAGAAGATTGGATTAAGCAATTTGGAAGTGAAGGAGTTGCCGCTGATATATCAAGAGGAGGCAGAGAGAGAGGATCAAGCGGTTGGAGTTGGTGGAGCAGTGTTGTTGTCTATAGGGAGCCTTGTGAGAAGGAATTTGTACAACTTGGGACTAATCAAATCCTGTTCTTAAAGTGGAAATAGGAAATTTGGGAGTGAGAGTTCTATGCAACTTTTGTAGCATAATATTCTTTGCTTAAGATTTGGGCTTTTGTGTACATAAAAAGTTTAAGGGTGAAATTCGGTGATAGTAGGTCTTGTAGTTGGTTGGGTTGGGTTTGGTAGGTGAAAACGGATAGTTACATGTACAGCTGTAGGAGATTGGGGGGTTGCCCCCACCATTTTAAATGCTCGTTTGAATTAGGAGGAATTGGTTATTGCCGAAGACGTTGTTCACGTCGGTGGGAAGGTAGTGGGATGAATACAGAACTGGATTCTTGGTGGCTGAAGACAAGTTTAGGTAGAGACACGACAAATTAGGTTCGTTCTTCATTTAGGTTCCTTTGTACATACCCACTTCTTTTTAATAGCAATATTAATTTTAGCGGTTGACTTTAGTTTTTAAATTCAAATTTCCTTTTTCTCGCCTTTCAACTCTTCTCCGGGCTCCACTTTTTGCCTCTGCTAATATCTCTCCTCATGAGAATCTGCCTCATCAGAGATTTTCACAAATGATTGAAGAATTAATAAACAAACAAAATCATTTTATTTGATATTAAGATGTAGATATATTAAAAAAATTTAATTTAAATATATTATTAGTGAAAGTATTTTTAATACTGTAATTTAATTATAAATCTTTATTTTAATAAATTTTGTAATAATTAATATAAATATCATTTTCTGTCAAAATCATCTCTTTTATCATCTTTGAGGCGGTGAGGAGGACGGCTTGAAAAAATCGTAAGAAACTCTAGAATCCGATCCCTGCTGACAGAAAAATAACTGATCCACAGTATTATATTTTATCATTCCTCTCTTTCCCTATATACTTTTATTAAAATTTTATTTTAAAATTATATATTAATGATTGAGATTAGTGATTACCTTCTTTTATTAATAGATTTTTCTTAATTTTTTAAATATATTTTAATGATTAAGATGAGCGACTGCATGTAAAGTTGACCGTAAGGGAATCAGATACAAAACTCTATAAGGTCTTCAATTCAAGTGGCATTAACTTGAAATGAAGGCACAATTATTCTCGTGGAGATGGGTTTGGATTAATTAACGCTTAAGTATAATGATAGTGGTAAACCTTTGGATGGGAAGAGAGAAATGAAAAGATGAAAGAAAAGAGGATTGACGTAATAAAAACATAAAAGTAGAAAAGGAGTAAAATAAAGATAAAAAAGTAGAAAAAGAGTTCTATGAAAATAAAGGTATACAAAAATTAATATTTCTACTAAACATAAGCACTCTTCATGTGAAATTATGTTATATACGTTTAACATATAGAAGTCATTGGTTTGGTTGGATGAGAAGAAGAAAAATAAAAAGGAAACAGAGGGGATGGAGATCCAAAAGCATGCATGGTTGTGAACCGTAGATCTTGGTGCTTTATCTTTGGAGTTGAAATGTTTCATAATTATTATACCTTAGATGGTAAAGTGTATTAATAAGAAGAGCATGGTTGACTGTAGAGTTGCCTTTCATTGATTCTGAAAGAATAGTTAACAAATAGTAGTATCATGCATGAGAAGCTGCAACAGCACCAAGAATTGAGTTTGGAAGTAACATATCAAAGCTTTCAATTGGGACCAATTATTGGTTGTACACTTGTTCAAGCCAAGAAACCATTATTATTATTATAAACGTTTCAATGCTCCCTGCCTCTGCCTCTGTTGAGACCGTAATGTCCAATTACTACACTCAGGTGGCTTCGTAAATACTGATGCGCCGGAAAAACTCAGCACAAATGTTTTCCACAAGAGAAAGGCTCGTTCAAACTTTCTCCATGTGCAATTTCATCCCTTAAAGTAATTTTTTTAAAAATTTTATGCAATTTAATTTTCAATTGTATTACCTATTTACGTTTTTGTCCTTTAGACAAATTTAACAAATTTAGGAATTAAATTGTATATTATGACAGTTTTGAGGACAAATAATTCTTTAAAGGATCAATTTTTTTAAAAAATATTAAAAAAGCATTATCAAATTTTTACAGTTTTAATGTAACAATATGTTTTTAAAATAAAATTTTATTTTTTAAGTTCTTAAATTCAGCCTTAAAAGTTAAAATTAAAATACTCATAATAAAATATCATTTAAAAGAATAATTTATATATTTTACTCAACATTAAACAAGTTGGTGAGGTGGATAGCAAGTGTAACGTGGTAGAAAGGGGGGCGCAGTAGTTGGTGTTAACTGTACTTGAGCTGGTTTTGTCTCTGTTTGTACAATTTTCACATGCATTCTCTGTTTCTTGTCTTTCATCTCGTTGTTGACCCCGGTAACTTCTAAGTCGCACGTGATACACCCACTTGTTTTCTTAATAAACCTTTAAGTTATACAGATCATTGCTTTTTGAGGATTATTTTTTATGTATAATTAAAAATAATATATACTGAAATACAGTATTTTAAAAAAATTATAAAACTATGAGATTTTAAAAAGTAAATACAAAATTTTAAAAATAAAAGAAAAAAGTAATAAAATCTTAAAAATTACTTATAGCAATTTTTCAAAAAATATTAAAAAATAGAGCATGCTTTTTAACTTATATAGGCAAAAAGTTACATAAAAATATTATAATAGTATTATTTTTAAATAATTTATTAAAATAGGAGAAATAAACAATAAAAATATTGTAAAACTCTTATTAAAAATGTGCTACTCTGAGACATGGCAAAACTGTTGTCTCAGTGCACTTGATATTGTAATTTCAAGTCTCTTATTATTATTCTAATAACATAATATTAATATATTCGATAATTTATTTAGTTTAATATATCATATTATTAACGTAATTAAAATTATTAAATATGAATTTATCAATATCAAATTAAATTGCAATAAAATATTTCATGTTAAAAGTGAATGAAAATTAAATTAATTCTAATTAAAATTACTACACAAAAGATCATAATTATTTTATATTAGATTTTATTGTATTTTTGCCAACTTAGTAGGCTGAAGTTTTAGACACTAGAAAATGTCTTATTATTAATTAACTTTTTTTAATACAAAAATAAGTCCTTTATCATGATAATGATAACATGACATTAAGCTTTTTCCTTGGCTTTCCATTTTTTTTTTATGTAACATTAAATTAATAAATTTAAGAAAAATATATCTTTTAATATTTATGTAATGTGATAAAAGAATATTTTCTTTTATCAACAAAACAATGTTACATCAGCCATCAAGTCGACAATGAAACTTAACTATTGGAACTTAAAAATTATAAAAATATTTAATTGACTATATTGTCTTAATTATCATTCATTATCGATCACTTAAGCTCTAAGACATATATAAAGCCAAACACCAATCAATCAATCCGTCATTTTATATGCTGTGAATTAGCGATGAAGACGGAATTAAAAACAAGCGAAATGCTGATTAAATAAAAAAGTAATAAAATAAAAGACAAATGAATGCCAACAATGGCTGCTACATATTATTTTGAGAGATTCAACGACTTTTTTTTTTAATTTTTTGAGTTGGAAATTAAGAAAGCAGAAAGAACAAAGGATCAGTGACTGAAAATAAGCCAGGAGAAACCTTTTACACACTATAATACTATATATTAATATATTATAATATAGAATTCCTTAATTGTAATGACTCCTGTCATCTTTTTACATATAGAGGGTAGATCGAACACCGGTTGATAGAAGTACAGATGAGACAAATTGAGTTGAGTTAGGCTTAATACACATTTAACTGGGCAAAAACAAAAAGTTCAGTAAAAATTGAACTTATATTATTGCTTCAAGTCCAACTTTTAATTAATGAGCTACTCAAGTTTAATTTAATGAAATCTGTTTAGATATTATATTTTAAAAAAAAATCTTTAAATTTTATATATTTTAGTTAAATAAGCTTAAGTTATTGTGAACCAAACTTATAATACCACCAACAAATCAAATCATTAGTAACCGGTGAATGGACTAATCTAAGCTCATGACAAGAGTTGTTTGGACACTTTAAATAGCCGTTTGCATGCTTAATTTGTGTTTTCATATTGCTTATTTTACAATATTTCGGAATAATTTTGTACCAAAACTAGTTTCGATGAAGAAATAAGTGTTGTTAACATGTAAAGATAATTAATTTAATTGCAATAAAAATAAAAATTATTCCATTTTAAGATGTGATCTCACAATTTATTTTCTATTCTAAGGAAAATCGGTCATGACCTTTCTATCTCTGGTAGTTGAAATAAAGTATATACCCTGAAGTAGGTATCGTCCATTATCTCTAAGGAATATTATCATGCATATATGAAGTTTATATAGTTAATCATTGATTATTATATGTTTGTAACAAACACTAATTCGCATCGTTAGTATTAAAGGAAAACATAGCCATCTTTTTCTTTTCTTTGGTTATTTGGAGCTATAAAATGTTTAATTATGATAGATAGATGTAGATGGAGGATCTAAATATCATGCTTTACTTCAGAATTACGGGTTTGTCCTATTAATTAGTATAATAGCCGGCCGGCCGGCAAGCTTTGTTTAAAGACAAATCGGCACTTTTGAATATATTCAACTTGCTTCCACCAAAAGAAATAAAGAAAGAAAAAGTTCTTGATGATCATGAGCCTGCCAAGCCTAGGTTATCCCTTATTGATGGATGGACTATACATACATTAGCTAGCTAGAGATCAAGTGTTAAAGAGATGTATTATTAATGGTAAAGTGTAGTATCTTGAATATTATAGAGTATTATTATAAATTTATTTACACTGACCATGCTGAGTTTAATAATAATATAGCCAACCTAGTTATTTCTATAACCAAGCTTTGGACATATATATAACTATTCTATTTATTTTTCTTTAGCCGTAAGTTAGCCGCCTTTGACCCTATTGGAGACAAAGTTTGTGGTTCAATTTGCAGAGAAGCATAATTTTAGAGTGTGAATATAAATACGATGCCAAGGAATTAGGATTTATATAAAAAAAGTAGAAAACGATGTCAAAGTTCTTGCTAAGGAAATATTAGTCTTGAGGTCTCTATTATGGAACGGTGATGTCCTTCTAACTGTCGCTGACGTGGAGAGGGTACCTGCAAAAAGTACTCCGATGCTGAAGTCAGGATTCGGTTTTGAGCAATAAATGCTATTTAATAATGAAAAGTCAACCCTTTACTTGTATTTCCTACCTTCCTTTTATAGGCATTGTTATGGGCTAATTGGCTTACTGAGTTAGCCTTAGTTTTGGCCATTTAATTAAAGTAGATAATATTCTGATTATTACCTTTAATTGGATTAATTATCTTTTAATC